GGCATTTGACTCAGATGCTGCTGACCCAGTTCCACCCAGGCACTGTATATGATCCCTGGGCACCATCAGGAGGGACCCTGATCCCAGAGCAGGAGGGGCCCAACCCCCATCCCTCCACCCAATGTGCAGGGATAGGAGGGGTAGAAGAGAAAGGCAGCAGGAGGGAAGGAGGGAGGGGAGAGTCTGGGTAGGGAGAGAGGTGCGGCAAGGAGCCCCACACTCAGCCCCCAAACTGCCTGCCCTGAGCAGGACAAACCTCACAGGTCAGGGCCGATGGCTGTGGGGCCCGGCCTTGGGAACAAATTTTCTATTCCCATCTGCGCGTTCCTTTCCCTTGCCACTGGCAGGCCTATACCCCAAGGTAACGGTGCTGCCAATGGACAAGTTTATTTAGTACCAACAGTCTGAGAAGACCCCGCCCGCCCGCCAGCATCTTAATTCGGGGAACTGAGGTCATCGGGGCTGGGGCAGGAAGCAGCAAAGGCAAACATAAGGGTGGGGAAGGGGCGGGAACGGAGACTCAGATGCAGGACAGAGGTCACAGTGATGATAATGATGATGACGGAGATGGCGACTATGGCCATCTGATGCCATTGCTGGCCCAGCCTGTGGCGTGTGAAGCAGAGGTGATCCCCGCAACGCAGCGCTGCCTCTCACCCAGAGAGGCCATCGGGAGGGGATGCCCCCACTTGGTTCTTCTCTCCCATCAGAGTCGGCACCTGGTTGACATTAAACCCTCAGTGATGGGGACACATCTTAGCCCTGAGAAAAGGCTGGAGGAGAGCATCAAGGTGTGAACGGAGGGAAATTCCTTGGGGAAGGAGATGGAGTCCCTGGCGCCTGCTCTCTAATACCCCAGAGAAACCAGAGAACTGCTGGCCCGAAGTCTGGCAGAGACCAGGCCCCTCTTCCAGCTGGTCCACACCCAGAAACACATCCACACCCTCGGAAACCCCAAACCCACTGCCGCCTGGTGTGGACGGAGATTATAGCCCCAGCTGACCTGCCCACCGGGCCCAAGTCTCTGCTCTCACACCTACCATGGGCCGTGCCCACTGCAACCACGTAAGGAGAGTCCGGACCTTCCCATCTTCCCTGGGGCCATGACCACAGCAAGAACCAGGAACTTATATGGATCTGGCTCTTTGCCAAATAACAGCTTTAGAGAGATAGGAAAGGGCCGCTAACAGCTGCAGCGCCTGATGGGGTCCAGTATGTATGTCTAGCCCCACACGGTCCCACAACGCCCCACAGGGGTCCTCATGGCCTCCCTGAGCACACTGGCCTGGTGGCCTCCAGAACAAGCCTCGTGCCCATCCAATGAGAGTTCAGACCTGTTACAGACTTTGATTAGAAGCAGATAGGTTTAGAATATCAAATCTTCCTAGTGAGAACTGTGTGTACCAGAGATTTCTCAGAGTGCTGCCATCCCCAACCGCCAATCTCTGACTCACAGGCTGAGCGCTCAGCGATTCCCCTCTGACCCCGACTGCCCAGAGTGAGGCTGAGCCCACAGCAAGGGGCCTGCTCTCACGGAACTGCCCCTTCCCACATCAGACGCCGACAGGGCCACACATCAGGGGTCCCCACGCCCCTCTAAGCGTTCGTGACCAGTCAGCACAGCCCACACAGCTCAGAAGCCCTTACCTCATGGAGAGTTTCCAGCCTGGGCACAGCTCAGGTACCCTGCAGTTAGCACCTGTGCAGGACAGGGGGTGGGAGGGTCCCTGGCCTCTTGGGGTCAGCCACACTCAGCACCTCCACACACACCCCGCACCCAGCCCCTCATCAGATCTTGGTTGAACAGATTGTGGCCATCATGTGCATTCCTAGGCCGGGGGGGGGGGGGGGGATGGAGCTGAGTTTTTTTTTCTTTTTGGGTCATATCCAGAGATGCATAGGGGTTACTCTTGGCTCTGCACTCAGGAATTACCCCTGGCAGTGCTCAGGAGACTATATGGGATGCTAAGAATCAAACCTGGGTCAGCCACGTGCAAGGCAAATGCCCTACCCGCTGTGCTATTGCTCCAGCCCCGTGAGGTTCTTTTTGGTGGCCAGGCCCATGTGTAGAAGTGCTCTCTCGGCACCCCTGACCCTGGTCGTCTTAGAGAGTGAGCCTTAAGGAGGATTAAGGGGAAATGAGGCCCTTTTCTTGGGTCCCAAACCAGCTGGTGGCCCTACATGGAGAAGGGGCTCAGAAGCGCAGAGAGACAGACAGCAAGTGAGCGTGCAAGGGGAAGGTAATGCCACAAGCTGAGGACAAGACGCAGCCTGCTGGACCCAGGCCAGACTGCTGTGCTCCAGGACGATGAGTCAGCAACGTTTTTGGACTGAGACCCTCATCTGCTGGAACTCGGTCCTCTCCAAGCCCTTTGTGAGGTCTGTGACAGGTACTCTGCCCAAACTGGCCCCGCTTGGGTCCCAGCCCACACACCATGGCAGCAGGCGTGCAGGAGCAGGCTGGGAGAAGGACGAGGGTCAGAGCATATGGGTGCTCCCTGCTCGAACGTCACTGGGGCTCGTGACCATGTCATTGGAAGTCCCACAGCCCACCTCCCACCCCCACCTTTCGCCTGCAGCACTGCAGGTGCATACACTTGGGCTCTCTTTACCTCTTTTATTTTTGCCACATGCTGCCTGGCTGTGAGTTCAGGGGTTTATTCCTGACTGTGTTAGGGAGACCCTATGGGATGCCGGGAATCAAACCTAGGAGTGCCGCATGCAAAGCAAACATCCTCTCTGCTATGCTATTGCTCCAGCCTCCTCTCCTCTCATTACGTCTTATTGCCCACTTCTGCAACCTGCACCCTCTCTCCAGACTCCCAGAAGATGCGGGAGCCAGACCCCGGCTGCTCCCCACTCAGGACACTGCCTCATTCCCAATCCGCTGACTCGGGACTCATGAGTCCATGCTCAAAGCCTCTCCTAAACCCCCATTCTCTCTCTCTCTCTCTCTCTCTCTCTCGCTGTGTGTCTCTGTCTCTCTCTATCTCTCTCTCTCTGTCTCTCTCTCTGTGTCTCTCTTCCTCTCTGTCTCTCTCACTCTGTCTCTTTCTGTCTCTGTCTCTCTGTATCTTTCTCTGTCTCTGTCTCTCTGTTTCTGTCTTTCTCTGTGTGTCTCTCTTCCTCTCTGTCTCTGTCTCTCTCTGTATCTCACTCTGTCTCTGTCTCTCTGTCTCTCTCTGATGGGGGAGGGGATTACTCCTGGGTCTTCCAGGACTTACTTCTGGGTCTGCGCAGAGGATCATCCTAGTGGGATTCTGGGGACCATATTGGATTGGGTTTGTATAGATTCTTGTGTTTACCATTATTTGGGTGAGTTTTGGGGGCATTTTGATTGGAGCGGGCTAATGGGCTATTGGCCTAATGTGGTTGGAGTAGCTAGGCTGCCTTTGTAAGAGTTCAGCAAAGGAGGCTGAGATATGGGTCTAATGCACTATGAAAGGGGAAATTAACTGGTGACTGCCACCCCGTAGGCCATGCCCCCCATTGCTGGTTACCTGTGGGGCGAGGGGCCCCGCGTTGGCGCAGATCTTGGGTTATAGTTCCACTTCCAGCACACTTCTAAAACCACAGGTGTCCCCTCTCTAGGACCATACTGGGTACTAGAGATTGAGCCTTGTTCAGCTGCATGAAAGGCCAGCGCTCTACCTGCTGTATTGCTTGGTTCCTCTTCCTGCCACCCCCTCCACCCATTCCCTCTTCCTTCTCTCAGTTTCCCATCTAAAACATCATTCTTCTCTTAGACCGTTGTCACTCACTGATGTTCTCAGACTTGTGTGATGAAACCCAGGATCCAGATGTGGGTAGGAACAGAGCCCCTCCTTGCAGAGACACTCGCTCCCCTCACTGGGCCACACTTCCCCACTAGCCTCTACTACACGCGGGTGAAGCCCGAGGGGTAGCTCCTGTTATGCATCTGCTACTCATGGGGGTGCTGCCTTTGGGGGTGCCAGTTACAAGAGTGTGTCTGTGTCTCTGTGTGTGTATGTATATGTGTGTGAGAGAGAGACAGTTTGTGTGTGTGAGAGAGAGAGACCGTTTGTGCGTGAGAGAGAGAGATAGTTTGTGTGTGTATGAGAGAGTGTGTATATTAGAGAGACTGTGTGTGTGAGACAGAGTGCTTGTGAGATAGAGACAGTGTGTGCATGTGCATGTGTATGTTTGTCTGTGTCTCTGTGTGTGTATGTATATGTATGTGAGAGAGACAGTTTGTGTGTATGAGACAGACAGTGTGTGTATGAGAGAGATTGTGTACATCTGTGTGTTTGTCTATGTCTCGGTGTGTATGCATGCGTGTGTGTGTGAGAGAGAGAGACAGTTTGTATGTGTGTGTGAGAGAGAGACAGAGTGTGTGTGAGAGACAGTGTGTGTGTGTGAGACAGTGTGTGTGTGAGAGACAGCGTGTGTGTGTGAGAGAGACAGAGTGTGTGTGAGAAACAGTGTGTGTGTGTGTGAGAGAGAGAGAGAGAGAGACAGAGAGAGAGACAGAGAGAGAAAGAGGAGAGTAAGAGATAAAGAGGGAAGAGAAACCAGGTTCTGTGTCTGGCTTGTGGGCACGTTTGGGGTACTCTGGTATCAGGTATGACCCAGGAGCAGAGCATTAACTGTCTCCCGCTGCCCCTCTTCATACTGACCCGTGGGCCCCCAGCATCTTCCTCCCACCTCCCACTGTGCCCCTGTTTGTTCATGCCCAAGGAACACAGGAAAACCCCTTCCTGGAGTCACTCCTTGGACAGTGATCAGCAGGCAGCTGAACCCCCTTCAGTTAACTTCTGCCCCCTTGCAGCCCCTGAGCTGTACCCAGGGGCAGGAGGGCAGAGCAACAAGATTCCTGCAGGAGCAGATGAAATTCTACCCATCACCCCCGTCTTCCAGTCTTCCAAGAGGAAGCATCTGTCCCTCTGAATCAGCTGGAGAGCCAGTTGGAGTAAACAGCGCCCCACCTCTCACTGATAGAATTTTTTTTCTCATGTCCGAGGGAGGAAATGAAAGTGAAAGGGAAACTCAGCTCCGATATAACAACTGATCCAAGGGCAGCTGCCACTACTCCACCTTGCGTCCAGAGCGATGGCATTGGTAAGTCCCCTGGAACTTTGCATCTGGGCATCTGGGCTCTACAGTGGGAAGGAGTGTGGACCCTCCCAGCCCAGCAGTGGGCACAGAGTTTCCCTTAGGGGGCTGTATGGGAAGCTGCATGTTTTCAGGAAAGTGACTTCTCCTGCAGTGTTGTGAGATTCTGGTTTGAGGAAAAGACCATTCTGTATCTGCTGAAGTAAATAGTAGGAGCAGGGACTTCCGGGGCAGGGGGGGAAGTCTAGGAGGGAGGGAGCGGTCGATGCTCCAGGAGCTGCTCAGTTGCTTTGGACTCTGCGGGGAAGGGTCCATACAAAAGATAGGTATGTGGGAAACACACCCACAAACCAGCAGTGCCAATGAGTGAAGGGACCCCTCACTGGGTGGGGGAAGGTCCCTCACCCCACCTCCCCCGGCTGGAGTCTGGACTTCTCCACTCTGGTCTCTGCCCCTCTTGCCTCCTTCCCCTTCCTGGGGTCTCTCCAGCCTCCTTTAGGATGTTGGACTCTCCCCATCCTGACCTGAACCCCAACTCTGATCCATCCTCACTCCTCCTCTTCACACCGAGTCCCGAGCGCTGGCCCAGTATGGTGCTGCCTGAGCACCTATCCATCTGGGACTGGAGATGGGAAGATTCTGGGGTGATGCTCCAGCCCTGGGGAGTCACCTGGGCAGTCCCTGTCTCTGGATGTGACAGCTGCAAAGGCAAACACAGGGTCTGCCCACTGCGAACCGTTCCTTACCCAGGCAGGGCCCAGGGTTTGTTTTTTTTTTTTTTTTGTAATTCAATCACCATGTGGGGGTATGGTGCCGCCAGCAGGTCAATCTGTACCTGTGAGGCGAGTGCATCAGCAGCCTGATGGCGCCTTCAGACTTCCAGATACCCCAAAATTGCTGCTGTGCCTTTGGCTAGACCCCAAAAACTTGGGGGAAAGTTTACCAAGAAAGTAAAAGGCCAAAAGTTAGGTATGTGGGAAACACACCCACAAACCAGCTCCGGCTCAGCTATATAATTGGAGGCCTGGCCTCTCTGGCTTCTGATTGAACTGCTTAATGGCCATGATCCCAGAGACTCAGAAACAAATCTCAAAACCCAGCGGCTTTTGGCAGAAATGCATCCGGACCTCGCAGTAGGTTACTCTTGCTGGGCCACCCCCGATGGGGAACGGTGTTGTCCCTCTGCCTGCTCCCCCTTGGCAGCTCAGTGGCCGTCATCCTCCAGAGGCCATTGGACAGTCAAGTCTGGGCCTGCAGTGACGAAACTTGTTGGGCCTCACGGGATGGGGGTGAAGCTGGGCCTGTCCTCCCCAACCCAACGAGACCCCAAGTCATCGCCCATGAACAACCTCTCTGGCTCCTGATCAAGCTGCTCAATGGCCATGATCCCAGAGACTCAGGAGAAAATCTCAAAACCCAGTGGCTTTTGGCAGAAATCCCTCCAGATTTAAATGTTAAAATTTCGGAATTTCAAAATCACATGGCCCTACTGCAGCCATGCAACATCATATGTTATTCATAACCAGCAATAGAACACAAATTGCCTACTGTTGCCTTTTCAGCAGATCTGAGTGTTGGGGTAAAATCTCAAATAATAATGGTGGGTCTGGTGTTGAAATATTGAATGTGATCAAAGTAGAGAGAGAGTAATGTGGAAATCATCTGCCCCACAGGTAGGAGGAAGGTGTGGGATGAGGGTATACTGGGGTTTTTGGTGGTGGAGAATGGGCACTGGTGAAGGTACGGGTGTTTCATTGTATGACCAAGACTTAGACCCGAAAACTTTGTAATTGCTCTCACAGTGATTTAATAAATAAAATTATAAAAAATTTTTAAAAAGTAAGTTGGAGTTCATGCACAATTCAATCAGCTAATCAGTGGCTGAATAAATAGCAGTACTCCTACATAAAAAAAGAAAAAGAAAAGAAAATTCAATCACCGTGAGACACAATTACAAGCTTTCATGTTTGAGTTTCGGTCATACAATGATCAAACACACATCCCTTCAACACTGCACACTTTCCACCACCAAAATCTCCAGTATCTCACACCCCGTCCCCTACCCGCATCCCAACCTTTTACCTGCCTGTGTGGCAGACAATTTCCACAATACTCTCTCTCTACTTTGATCACATTCAATATTTCGACACCATCCCACCATTATTATTTGGAATTTTCCTATCACCACTCAAACCTGCCGAAAAGGCAATGCTAGACAATTTATTTTGTATTGCTTGTTATGAATTAGCATATGATGTCACGTGGCCGCTCTGCTTCTGGAATTTTAAAATTTTAGATAACTAGGGTCTGGAGAGATCTCTGCAGCGAGCTGCTCTGTTCCGAGATTCTTTTGTGTGTCTCTGGATCATGGCCGTTAAGGAGCGTAAATAGTAGCTGCAGGAATGTCATCTCAGGGTTTGTGAATGTCATCTCAGGGTCCCACTGGGGCAGGGGGATGAGAGGGACTGGCTCATCCCCTATCCAATGATGGGCCCAGTTTTAGAGTACAGCTACCACTGGCCATCACGCTGCGATGCACCTTGTCTTTAGGGACACGTTCCATAGGAGACGCGATTGGGGCACAGGTTTCAGACGTGCAGAGGAGCAGAGGCCGAGCCAACCGTGTGGTGAGGAGGGGGATCGGGCATCAGTTCAGGGGGAAAATCACCTGCAAGTGGCCCAGGCTCCCCTGAGAGCTTCAGACCTGCTCTAGAGGTAGCACTGTGTCCGGAGCCAGAGAGAGGGGAGGACAGGTATGCTGGCAGGAGGGTGACGGAGGGGTGTGTCCTGAGATGAGTATGGAGCAGCAGGGACAGAAGGTGGTGGGGGAGTGTTGCAGAGCGGGGATAAGACTTATGGCACAATTCATAGCACAGCAGTGGTCGGGGATATGAGTGTGGGAGAGCCTCTGTGAAGGAGTCCCTCAAGGCTGGGCCCAGGGGTGCAGTCAGCCATCCCTGGGGCAGCGTCTTCAAGACATGTGTCAAAGTCTGAGGAGAACCAGGGTCAGGAGGCGTGATGGGACTGAGGGGGGGTCAGGTCTGGGCACCTGCCCAGGTGACGGGGCTTCACACACCTGCTGTGCCAACACTCGGGACCCTGGGCCCTTACCAGGTGAGTCCCACGGCGAAGCCTCCACCATGGCCCTAGCTGAGGTCTCCCCAGGAGCCCAGGGGGCTGAGCCCAGCTTCTCTCCTTTTCCTGTCGTAGTTGGGGGAAGAGCCGAAGCCTGGAGACCTGATTGAGATTTTCCGCGTTGGCTACCAGCACTGGGCCATCTACGTGGGAGACGGCTATGTGGTCCACCTGGCACCTCCAAGTAAGGGCTGTTGACAACCGTTCTCATGATATGAGCTAACAATAGAAAGGGGCGGACTGAGGGAATGAGTGAGTTTCTCCCGCCATTGGGCCTGAGGGACCTGAGCCATCACAATGGACCAAAAGAGCTGACCCCTGAGTCCTCCCACAGCTGGGCTCCGTCCCCACCTACTGACCCCGGGGCCCCCACAGCTGGGTTCTGTCCCCATCAGCTCTCCAGCTCTGAGCCATGCTCCTGGGAGCAGAGTCTGAAGTGACTGACAGCAGCCCGGGGCCTGCAATCTCTGAGCTAGAGAAGGTTCCTCAGCAGGGGCCATGTGCTGGAGGCAGGTTGTTTCCTTCAGAGGCTTCCCCAGAACCAGGGTCCATGAGAGCCCTCCTGGGGCGGCATGAAAATGCTCTGCCCAAGGCCCAGGGGCCCATATGATCAGCGAGTCTGAGTAACCGGAGCAGCTGGTGACAAAGTCACTGGACAGCAGAACCAGGACACTCACGTGTGGGGAGTTGGCACAGGATGCTTCTGCATCAATTGTGCAGTGGCCACCGGGCAGAAAGGGGTCTGTGTCCCACAGAGCAATGACCAGGCGCTGTAGCTCCTTTCCACTCAGGCTCCCATTGTCTGCTTAGAACCATCCCCTCGGAACAGCATGCTTGCCCCTTGCTGTGTCCTACATTCACTTCCACAGAGGTGTCCAAGTGGTGGCTAAGACATACATCCAGCAGTCAGAAAGATAGCTCAATGCGTGGAGCACATGATTTGCACACAGGAGGCGGGAGGCCTGGCACTGTACGGCCCTTTGAGTGCCCTGGGGGCAATCTGCTACTAGCTTAGAGCTGTCAGTAGCCGCCAAAGAACCAGTCACAGCAGAACCAGGACACACATGTCTGGGGAGCTGATGCAGGATGTTTCTGCATCAACGGCACAGAGGCCACTGGAGAGAATGGAGGTCTGTGTCCCATTCTGGACCCGTGGACTTTTGAGATCACGGGTCCAGGTTGATAAACAGGGAGAGTTTGACAAGGAGGACACGGGAGTTCTCCTGATGCCAAGCCTTCAGGGACTGGGAGGTACATCTCCAGGGCATGATGGATTCTGAAGCAGCAATTCTTGCGATGAGAGCAAACCCTGTGTTTTATTACACTGCTTTTCGGTCCTCCCTTCTTAGAAAATGCACCATGCTCGCTGGAAGGCAGAGTGAGTCCATCCGTGCATGGGCCCTGGGGAGGTACTCCCCGTGTGTCTGGGTGTTCTGGGACCCAGGAGAAAGTCTGTACCGGGACCTGAGTTCTGCTCATGCCCTGAACAGAATAGAGAAGCCCTGTCTGTCTGGTTCTGGGGTCTTCAAAGCACAAAAAAGGTCTCCTAATGCCTCTGCTCCAGTGCTGGGTATGAAATGGCAATGCATAGAGCTAAAAGGAGGATAAATTTGCTCCTGTGTAAAAATGGAACAGCAAGAGGCTGAAATATTGAGGGTCCTAGTGATCTAAACATGGGAGTCCTGAAAATAGAGAACATCTTTGGAAATGTAATATTGTTGGAGCCTTGGGCCCCCTAACTCCTATTATAGGGGATGGGTTGTCAGACTATGTACATTCTCTTAACGAGAACTGTTGTACCTCTGGCCCACACCACACTCCCTGACTTGGAAATATTAACTTGATGAGGAAAAGAGCCAACAGAACCCCCGCACCCCCCGTTCTGGCTGTGGGAGAAACCTCCCCCTGCCACCATCGATCCCTTCATTTCTATTTTCTCTCTCTCCTGCCTTGCTCATTCTGACGTTGCCTCTAGTTCCAGGTGAGTGCCTTGATTCCTACAATAGCCGCAGGTATCTGAGCAAATTTCTGATTGTGAAACGTGAGCTCCTAAAGGATGTGGCGAGGAACTGCAACTATGTGGTGAACAACTTCTGGGACCAGAAGTACAAGCCACAGTCTGTCAACGACATCCTCCACGCTACCCATAAATGGCTGTGGTTTGCATCGTTTGTTATTGTCAGAAGAGATGCTAAGGAATTTGTTATTGATCTGAGATACGGCTTACCTGAAGATCAGCTGGTAAGGTTGAAACTGAGCTCCTTGTGGCCCCGGAGGTTGGAGGGGAAGAGGACAGGGAAGAGAGGATCAATTGCCCATGGGCGATTCCATCTCCAGAGATGCTTTCACGGGGAGTCAGCACTTCTGATGCGGGTCTTGGGTTTGCGCTCATGGCCTCTGCACTGGGGGCTTTCTTCTAGACCTTGGTTTCCCTATGTGCATCAGAATAGTTGGATTACACTTTGGAGGCTGGGTGAGCTCACTCCTGAGCTCTTTGCTGTGATATTAAATCTGATTAAGCCCTTCATGTTGTCAGGGCGAGTCTTGGTCACCCAGGGCTAGAGTTCCCCTCAGGAAAGCCTCCTGAAGTAGGCAGGTGTGGGATGTTCAAGCTCTGGTTTACCATGGAGATTTCCAAAGCATTCTTTAAAAATTCCTAATTATGATAGCCTAGGTTGCAGTTTTACAATGTGTTCATTGTATGTACGTTTTACCTCACCACCACGAAGGTGTCCAAGAGTTTCCACCAATGTTCCTATGTTACTTTCAATCCACCTCATCATGCTTCCCACCCACTGCCCCACTAACTTAGTACTCTGAGTTCAGAACACAGTTATGTATTATCTAGAACATAGCTTCCTGTCTGACGAATGCCTTGTCCCTAGATACAGCTGGGACTGGTCATAGATCCAGGATTTCCACCCTTTCAGATGTTTTGCTTGCAGCCACACTGCAGCCCTCAGGAGCTGATGCAGATGACAGCTGGAAGGGGCTGGATGGGATGAGGGGAGGCAAGAGGGAAGACTTGGTGTAGCTGGTCAGAAGTCAGTAGGTGGTGGTGGATATCTGATGTACCCCGAGAGATAGCTGGTTGAAGACACTGAGTAGAAATTGGACCCTTGAATCTGGAGTCCAGGCTAAGTAAATTGTAGATAGAAGTTAGAGACTGCCTTGTGGGCCACCCATAGTACGTAGTGACCCAAAGGGCACAACCATAGCCTCCAAAGCCTCCCTCCCTTCTGTCACAAATCCTTCACCTGCAGAGGTTCCTCTCAGCTCGACTCTGGATCCCAAACACTGTCTGCACTCACCCTTGGGGCACCAGACTGAAGAAATTATACCCACCTCCTCCTCCTACCCACCCATGTGGGTGGTGTGAATGACAGATGGAGATGCGGGGTATAAACTTATAGATAGATATATACGTAAGTCAATACAGATCACGTGTCTATGCATTACTCTCCTGCTTCTTGTTCCTCACAGCTATCAGGATATTTCTTCCTATTTCCTATTTAGCATTTTTTTTGCTTTTGTTTTGCTTTTGTTTGGGGGCCACACCTGGCTGTGCTTAGGGCTGACTCCTGGCTCATGCTCAGGGTTTACTCAGGTCTCAGAGCGATGATCCCGCCAGAGAGCTCCCCCTCAGGATTGCCTCAGCCCATCCTGCTCATTCTCAGGACACACACACACACACACACACACACATGCTGAAAGGCTCGCAGCGAGGTCATGTCACAAAGTCTGAGCTCCCAGGAAATGAAAGTCCAGGGGCCTCATTCAGCATCAAGTGGGAAACAGAGTCTGAGCAGTGGAGAGGGAGCTGGGAAGAGATGAGGCCACTCCAGCCCTCAGGAGGAGAGAGAACCCAATGGGACCTCAGGGACTCACACAGAGTCTGTTTCCCCACAGGAGAAACTTTCCCAGGGGCTCTTGGATTATCCACTTTGGATGAGGAGACCTCGCTTGAAGAAGTCTAAAACCAACAACAGAAAGAGGCAGCCCCGATCATGAACAAGCAACCACCTGGACCCCCAAGAGAAGCCCCTTGACAACTCTTCTGCCTGTTCCCTCACTCCTCCAGTTGTTTCCTCTCCCCTACAAGGCTGATTATGTGCTTTTCCTGGAAGAAGCAAGATGTGTTTCCTGGACCTTTGAGGGAAAATGGCTGTATCTACGCTCTGACCAAAATAAACAAACAAAAAAGGGAAGTCACATCTGATTATAGCATTTCCGTTGCGTGTAGGGGAGTGATTATTCTCTCCTCTTTCAGTTGACAATATTTGTACCATACAGATGATCTTGTAAATGTGGTGTGAAGGACCGATGGAGAGACAGGGTATAGACCTATAGATAGATATATACGTAAACAAATACAGATCACATGTTTATGAGTTTTTCTCCTGCTTCCTGTTCTTCATAGCTCTCACGATATTTCTTGGTGTTTTCTATTTAGCTTTTTGTTTTGCTTTTGTTTGGGGGCCACACCTGGCTTTGCTCAGGGCTGACTCCTAGCTCATGCTCAGGGTTTACTCCTGGTAGGGATTGGGGGGACCTTATGGGGTGCCAGGGATCAAATCCGGATAGACCCTCTGCAATGCCATCTTGAATTAATACAGAATGATGGCCCATAAAAGCTGTGCTATCACACTGACCCCATCAACGTTCCTTTCGTCCTTCTTATCTTCTTTTTTATACAGTAACCTGGTATTATTTACAATGTGTATCCCTGTCCTTTTGTTCTTTCTGCTATCTGGTTATGCCTATGAGCTCATCTGGTTGGAAAGACCAATCATTATTTTTTTATTTACAGTATGTATCCCTGCCCTTCTGTTCTTTCTGCTATCTGGTTGGGCTTGAACGATAGCACAGCGGGTAGGGCATTTGCCTTGTACGCAGCCAACATGGCCGACCCAAGTTCAATTCCTCCGCCCCTCTCGGAGAGCCCGGCAAGCTACCGAGAGTATCTTGCCTGCATGGCAGAGCCTAGCAAGCTACCCGTGACGTATTTGATATGCCAAACACAGAAACAACAAGTTACTGGACCCACTCGAGCAAATCAATGAACAACGAGAGGACCGTGACCGTGACCGCTATCTGGTTATGCCTATGAGATCATCTAGTTGGAAACACCAATCATTATTTTTTTTTAATGTAGGAGTACTGCTATTTATTCAGCCATTGATTAAACTGGTTGAGTTGGGCATGAACTCCACATTGCTTTTTTTGTTTAATTGAATCACCGTGACATACAGTTACAAAACCGTACAATGATCGAAAACCCATCCCTCCACCAGTGCACACTTTCCACCACCAGTGTTCCCCATTATATTCTCCCCCCATCCCAATCCTCATCCTGACTCCATGGCCGACAATTTCCCCAATACTCTCTAATTTTGGCCATTATGTTTGGCTCAAATTTTCCCACCACCATTCAAGCCTGCCTGCTAGGGGCAGATGCTAAATCATTTACTGTCCCTTGCTTCTGGAAGTCTAGATTGTAGATGGTTGGGTTCCAGAGACATTTCTGTCAGGCACTAATCCACCTTGGGATTCAACTGGGCGTCTCCTGGACCAGGGTTGTTGGTGCACTAAGATGGTGCCCAGAGGCACATTGTGGGTGTGACAGCCAGGCTGACAAACAGAAAGAACAATCATTAAGTCACCTCCCTCCCCCTATTCTGTCGGAGGTTGGCAGTGGAGAGTGAGTCTGATTCATGGGGGGTTGGTCAAGTGAACCATGGTATAGCAGCATTAGGAAGGAACAGGGTCCTTTATTAAATTTTGAGTGAAAAATACTTCCTGCTGTAAAGATGCTCCAAACTGCCTGTCCTTTCTAAGTAGGTACAGTGCCCTGGGGGCGGGGTGTGGCTAGGAAGGGAATTGGGGTTCCTATAGGAGCAGAGGAAACTTCTCCTGTTTTCTTGCTTCCATGTGGGTTCTAGATCCGATTCTAAGTCGGAGGAACCAACCCTGTTTCAGCTGGAGCAAAAAGCTTCTTCCTTTAAAATCACTTCCTATGGAGTTGTTTGAAAACAGCCCCATGAGGAAAGGAAAGTGAAAACCACGCTCTCCACTCTGTTGTAAAAGCTGGTCCAGAGGCAAAAGATAGCACCCACTTGGCTTCAAAAAGGATGGAGTCTGTAAGTCCCCTGGGACTTTCCCCTGTCAGCAGCGGGAGAGAGTGTGGAACTTCCTGGTCCCAATCTGGGTCCTGACCTTGGGAACTGGAACTCAGAGCCGGGCTCACGGGACTTCAGTGGAAAACTGCAACTCTTGATGCAAATGGCATCTCCTGCTGTGCTGTGAGGTCTTGGGCTGAGGAAGGATCCTCAGGGTGTCTGCCAAAGGGGGATGGGACCTTCTGGTAGGGTGGGGGTCGGTTAGTCTGGTAATATTCCAGAAGGTCTCCTGCCCGAGCTGCTGGCTCAGCTTCCACAGACACAGTGGGCAGTGGCTGCAGTGCAGGTAGGTGGAAGGTTCCAGGCTGCTGGGAAGGGAGGAGGCCCTGCAGGCTGCCGGAACTGCCGGCCACCTCTTCTTCCTCCTCCCTCTCCCCTACCATTATTCTCACCTGATCAGAGGTTTTGGACCCTCAGCGTTCTGACCTGCAACACCGCCCCCCCCCCCCCCCCCCCGACTTGTCCTGCAAGGCTCCACTTCTCACAGGTGCTGGGCACTGTCATTTGGTCAGTGCAGTCAGCTGCCTCAGTGCCCTGAGCTGGCGTGGCAATGGGGCCACTCTGGAGCTGACACCCTTGCAGAGGGGAGGGACCTGTGTGTCCCTGGCCTCTGGGCAAGGGTGCAGCCCACAAACATGGGGCTCTGCTCCACAGGTTCAGGTTCTAGCTGCCACCAGCCCTGGTGCACAGTGATGGCCTTTGCCTTGGGGACACTTTAAGTGTAGGAGGAGGTAGGGGACACTCATTCTCAGAGAAGCAGAGGCTGAGGCGGCCTTATGGGGAGGGTAAGAGGGGCATCATTCATTAATCAGGCACAGGGTGTGTGTGTGTGGGTGGGTGGGTGGGACAGAGCATAGGGTGGTGAGGGGAGTGTTTGGGCCCTTCCAAGGCCCGAGAGCTGCTCAAGGCTGAGCACTGTGCTCTGAGCCAGAGGGAGGTGACTGCACGGAGGGTGGTGGTGGGTCCTGAGCAGGAGGGAGCAGCAGGGACAGGAGATGTGTGTGTGTGTGTGTGTGTGTGTGTGTGTGTGTCGGGGGGGGAGAGTCTCAGATAGACATGAGAATAAACTTAGAAGCAACACCTGGTGACCCCCCAGGAGCCCCCTCCATGGTTGGGGACCAGGGGATGCGTCAGTCCCTCCTCCTGGGGGCAGCGTCTCTGAGGAGTGGAGCCAGAGTAGCTCAGACAACCAGGGACTGGGGGCAGAGCAGTAACCAAGGGACTCTGGGAGGACGGAAGCTCAGAAAGCCACACAACAATGAACAGCCCCGGACACTGGCTGCAGCAAAGGGGTCAATGCAGGGCGACAACGGCTCTGCACAGACAGCACACATAGGCGCATGCATCAGACAGACATAACATACACAATACACACAACGGCATGCACCTGAGCATCTCACACACACATACACATACACACTCTCTCTCTCACACACACACTCTCACATACACACACACATACTCTTTCTCACACATACACTCTCTCACAACACACATACACACTTTCTCTCACACACACACTCTCACATACACACATACACACTTTCCCTCACACACACACTCTCACATACACACACACATACTCTCTCTCACACATACACTCTCTCACAACACACATACGCACTTTCTCTCACACACACACTCTCACATACACACATACACACTTTCCCTCACACACACACTCTCACATACACACATACACACATTCTCTCACACACACTCTCTCACATACACACATACACACACTCTCTCACACACACACTCTCTCACACACACACACTCTCACACACACATACACACTCTCTCACACACACACAAACACACAAACACACACACACATACGTAATCCATTCTTCAGATTTTTCCAAGTTGTTGTTTCCAGGCCTCACGCTCAGGGTGATACCTATGTAAATGAGAGCAGGGCTGAGAGGCCCTCGGCACCGTGGTCTGTCCCTTCCTGGGCCTTGCATGGGGATTCGTAGGGCACTGGCCATGCTCCAGATGCCCTCAGGTCTCCACCGGGTTTTCTGCTGGAGCCCATCTTCTCTCATTTTTCTGTTTAGCCTCGTGAGGAACCCCAGCAAGGGGACCTAATTGAGATTTTCTGTGCTGGCTACAAGCACTGGGCCATCTACATGGGCCAGTGAGGAGGAGGATGTGATTCATCTCGTACCTCCAAGTAAGGGCTGCTGATAACTTCCATGATATGAGTAAATGTACTAATAGCAAATGAAGAAAGGGGTCAGCTCAAGAAACGGTGGGTTTCTCCCTTTGCTGTGCTTGAGCGGACTCCACAGCCCTGAGGCATCACAAAAGGCTGACCCAGTTAGGGAACTGGACTCCCTCCCCACTGGAAATTTACACTGGAATTTCCAGATAAATTGCAGTTGTAGCTTTACCTATTTCCCTCTTTGCAGGGACTACAGAATTTAGGGCTGACAGGGCCACTCTACAAATGTTGAGGCACCAGGGATCCATCTCAGACCTGACCCTCATGGCCTCAAACCTTTGTCCATCTATTTTTCAAGAAACCTAGTCATTTCCCAGTACTTTTTCTCTTACTCCTTTTACTCCTCCTCCTCCCTCCTCCTCCTCCCCCTCCCCTTCCCCCCTCCTCCTCCCCCTCCCCCTCTCCCTTCCCCCCTCCTCCTCCTCCCCCTCCCCCCTTCCCCCCCTCCTCCCTTCCTCCTCCTCCTCCTCCTCCTCCTCCTCTTTCTTCTTCTTCTTCTTCTTCTTCTTCTTCTTCTTCTTCTTCTTCTTCTTCTTCTTCTTCTTCTTCTTCTTCTTCTTCTTCTTCTTCTTCTCTTCCTCCTCCTCCTCCTATTTCTCTTCCTCCTTCTCTTCCTTCTTCTCCTCTTCCTCCTCCTACTCCTCCCCCTCCTTCGACTACTGAGCCCTATCCTTCATTCTTGGGTTTGGAGTTAAGCTTAACAGAGTTTTCGAAAATCATGGCACCAAATTGCATTACATGTGGACAGTTTATCTTAATAGAGATAATTACTATGCAAATCTCATCTTGAGAGCTGGGGGTGGGGGCACCATCCTGGCCATCTGACTGTTGGTTAAACATCAGATGAAGGGATTAAATGTATATAGAGAAACATATACATATACATATACAGATGTGGCACTGCACTGTAGTAATGTCCTCCTGTTGTTCATTGATTTGC